TGACCCAAAAATAATTGTAGAAGCACCTACGGTTATTGTAGTGACCCAAAAATGATTGAAGAACCACCTACGGTTATTGTAGTGATTCTAAAATTATTTTTGAGTCACTACAATAACCGTAGGTGCTTCTACAATTATTTTTGGGTCACTACAATAACCGTAGGTGGTTCTACAATTATTTTTGTGTCACTACAATAACCGTAGGTGGTTCTACAATTAATTCTGGGTTACTACAATTAATAAAACAGTTTGGACCAGTTTTGGAGCATTTTTTCTCCCTACAAAAACAAAACACTGCTGTTATCAAATAAGTTGTTGAAAATATCAAGAATCGGACGACTAATTTAAATTCTACATTTTTTCTACAATTTTATGGACCCTAGAAACAATAGAAAAAAGATTTAGTTTGTGGAAAGTTTGATTTGGGGCCAAGATTTGAGTATTACCGATTTTGGACCAATTTTCATGACTCGTCCCGATATCGAACGAACGGGCAGACATATTTGAAAACAGACAATTGATTTGAATTCTACAATTTATCTTAAATTTTTTGAAACCATTCTCCATTCGAAAAAACATTTGATTCATGGAAAATTCGTTTTTTGACCAATATTTGAGTATCCCCATTTTGGAGCAGTTTTTCGATAGCCGATTACTCAAAAAAATTGTTCCTACATAAAAAAAAGTAAATACACTACATTAAACTACATAAAATCTACAATTGAAATCGCCCTACCTGAAGACATTTCGGCAAATTTGCCAAGATTTGAATATTCATCTAAATTTTCCGTGGACTCAAGAACAAGAAGAAGCATTTCAAAAACTCGAAATAGCTATTTCAACCGCACCTATTTTGGCATCACCCGATTACGACAAACCATTCACAATCGAAACAAAGAGCTCTGCGATTGGCGTCAGTGGCATTCTATCTCAATTTTATGATGGGAAAAAACATATCATTGCATACATGTCTGCGAAATTAAACGATGTACAACGATCGTATCACCCTATCGAGCGTGAGTGTTTAGCAGTGATTTTGGCTCTCGAAAAATTCAGGCATTATGTCGAAGGAAATGAAGTAACCGTCGTTACCGATCACAATAGTATTTCATGGTTAAAAAATTGCACGGAATCGACTGGAAGAATCGCTCGGTGGGCCCTGCGTCTGCAAGCCTACGATTACGATGTCAAACATAAGAAATTCTCTCAGTATGAGCCCGTTTGTGTGTTGAGCAGAGAAATCGATCTAACAAAATCGCACAATGTAAACACAAACACAGTTATTGGCGAACGCAGAGAAACCGACTTTCCGTTTCGAATGCTTGCCGCCGATTTCGTAGGACCTATGACAACAACAAAAAATCACAATCAATACTTATTTGTAGTTGTCGACATTTTCACCAAATACGTATTCATTAAATCACTTCGTGTTGCCAAGGCAGAACACATAATTAAATTTATAGAAGAAGAAATTTTCTGTAAATTCGGAGTGTGTGAAAAATGCATTTGTGCGTTCAATTTATTCCCAAGATTTTTAAACAATTCATCAGCGCCGTAGCCAGAAAAAAAAATTGGAGGGTGCAAAATCGAAATATTTCTTTTGTTGCACCTTTGAAATCCGATTTTGCACCCGACTTTGCACCCGATTTTGTTGCACCTTTGAAATTTTTGGAGGGTGCAATGCACCCATTGCGCCGGCCTGGCTACGGCGCTGCAATTCATGGATAAGTACTCAGTACAAATCTGCTTCACGCCGTACTATTATCCGAAGGCGAATCCGTGCGAACGGTCAAACAAAACCATTATAAATGCTGTACGCGCCTACGTGTCAAGTCAACCAGACCAACGCACTTGGGGTGTAAACATTTCATTAATTGCCTGCTACGGAGATGTCTCCGTATTTGCCGTATTTGGAAGACATATGGTATTGAACGGCAAAGAATATTCACAAATCATCGATCCAAACACTCCGCTAATTCCTCATTCACACGAAGATTTAGTACGCACGGTGCATCACTCCATAAGTGAACATTTATTCAGAGCTCATGATCGAATAACCAAAACTCACAACAGCAGTGCTGGCACCAGAGACATTGATTTGACAAAAGACACTCATTTAAAGAATATGAGACAAAAGTAGTTTGAATAGTTCGTTAAATCTCAGGAGTTAAACGTGCGCGTTCGTATTTAAAACCACGTAAAAGTAAATCATAAAATATTGTTTCTATATCTCTTGTCGCATAGCTATAGAAAAACCGGACTTGTTGCGAATTTATTTTATATCAGAAAAAAATAGTAATAAGAAACAAATTGTATGTAAAATATAGTAGAGTTTAATCAGAAACACGGCGAATTCATGTCAAACGTATTCAAGTCAGAATTCGCTTACAGGCTTACCAACCTCTCAATAACACCGCCGATAAACACGATTGGCAAGCGCAACGTCAAACTTGTTCTTTTCGAACTGAACGAGCGAACAAACAAGACGTACGAAAGACGGACTGCGCACCAGCGACGACGATTATCGAAAGAGCCGATCGACAGAGTAAGAGAAAAAAAACGAAAAGTGTTTTGAGAGTGTTAGCCTTTAATTTTAATTTCGCGAATTGTCTCGAATTCATTTTCATGATGGGGAACAAACAGCGGCTCTTTTTGGACGGCAGAAAACAAAACGAAACAAGATCACGGCGCTCCGCTCCGCTCTTATTTTGTCTCATATATATTATTTTCAGTTTGTTGTTGTACAACAAACTAAGGTGTAAAAGGTACTACATGAAATGTAGAGCTTCAATCAACTTTTACTTTTTAAAGGCTAATGCGGATTTTGGGATAAAATTTAAAGGACCAGCATATCCGCTAGGTATGATTTCAGTCGGTTGATGTTGAACGAAAAATCAAGTTCGAAGTGCTACCAGCGCCATAAACAAATCCGTTATGAATCTGATTTTTTTTCGATACAAAATAATCTAAAAATATCTTCTATTAAAAAAAAGTTAGAATCAAATTGCAAATTCTATTTCTCAACGCACAGTTTATAAAAAATATTTTGCATCAATAAAATTTAGAAAAACTACAATCCATTTCAAATGATTTCCAATTGAAATGTGAAACGACAACGCAGTTGTCACTTGTCAATATGGCGACTGGAGTGTATATGTATGTATATCCGTTGACTTACGTAAGATGGAGCTGTTGATTGCGAAGTTTCGAACTTCAAATGGAAATCATTTGCAGTGGAATAATTATAGTTTTTCTAAGTTTACTGATGCAAATAAAATATTTTTAATAAACTGTGAGCTCAGAAATGGAATTTACAATTTTATTCTAACTTTTTTTCCATTAGAAGATGTTTACGGATTATTTTGTATTGAAAAAAAAGTCAGACTCACAACAGTTTTGTTTGTGGCGATGGTAGCGATTCAAGCGGCATATGATAGCCTTTTAAAATTTATATCAAATGTCTTAATTCAATTCGCATTAGCCTTTATTTTATATGCGGGATTGATTGTATAATTAATCCTTACTTTTGCGTATTTGTGCAATCGAAGTTTGGAACTTGCATGTAAAATCATTAGAAATCGAAACAATTTTGGAGAAGACAATTTGAAATGACAAAGAAACAGTAATTATTACATTTCATGACCTACATTATAGTGCCCGATATGTTTCGGTTTGGTGTTTTTTTTTCGAAATTGTTTTTTTCAACATGGTTTCCTCATACTAATAAGTGCTATAACACGATGGCCGACCATGATCGTCTTTTCTTCTCCGTTCCAAGGCCATTAATATACTCATACAGTAGAACCTCGATTATCCGTCAGGCAACGGACCAGAGCCTGACGGATAATCGAAAAAGACGGATAATCGAGATTTTCATAAAATAAGGCAAAATGATCAAAATTTCCATACTTTCTAATTAGTTTTTGATGAGAAACAAAGTGATGTAGAAAATATATATATTTTATTCTATTATATATAATAGATATGAGAACAGATTTGGTGCATTGTCCAATATATTGGACAATCTTGTATATACAAGAAGTGCACCGAAAACGCAAATCTTAATTCAAATCTTAATTTTAATGATAGATGTCGCTATAATATTGAGTGTGTACAGGCGGCACACAATTGATTTTAATTATGAAAGTTAGTTGGCAACTTTATTCGTATGTTCAAGTGAAATAAACTGAAAAATGAACTGAACAAAAACTTTTCCACCTTGAAAATGTATGACGGTTAACGGAGGTGACGGATAATGGGAGGACGGATAATCGAGGTTCTACTGTATTGACTATTCGTATGAGAAAATGGTGTTACTCAACCAAATCCGTCGCACAGAAAGCAGTTGTGCAGCCGTGCTGTTTGCACTTCGGCGTTGTTCGCTTATACATCGCCCGTTCATCGTGTTCGTACGAACGAAATCAGTACACAGACATGTGTGTGTATGTATGCGCCGAACGCTCAAAGCCGAGTTCCATACAACGCACGGAAGATGCAGAGAATAAAAACAAAGGCAAAATTCGCATGGCAACAGTGATGGAATGAGTTGCTATGGAGCGTTCGGCGCATAAGAAACACGATGAACGAGCGATGTATAAGCGAACATCTCCGAAGTGCAAAAAGAACGGCTGCACTACTGCTTTGTGTGCGGCGGGTTTTGTTGAGTAAGTTGTGTTAACATGACCATGATGGACCGAGACGGTGTCCATGTTCATCTCCGTTCCAAGCCCAAGAAACAATTGTTGACGCAAATACATCCATTACCAAGCGTATGTGAACGGTCGAATTAAGGCCCGCATTTGTGTGTAGTTTCAGTCATTTTTAACGTCACAATGGAAGTAGAAAAAAACGGTAAAAACAAATCAATTAGAAGGATATAAAAACGATTATGAATCAATTGATAACAAAATAACAAATTACGTGTGAAACAAGGTCATAAATGGACCCACCTCGAGTATCATCCAACTGTACGCTTCACTTGAACTAGGTCCATTTATGACTTTGGTAATAAATATTGGTGTGGATATTGAAATTGACCAACTGACTGAGAAAATCTTACATACAACAACTTACCTACGGGTTTAACCCGTATTACATCGTGTATTTGCACACACATTTTAATGTACAAAGCCACAAAAATCAAGCTTTGAAATTAACTAATCGTTAATGCTTTATTTTATCCTCTTGATCTACGCTCTACTTTTCATCGACAGCATTTGATTGGCCATCTCGATTGGTCATCTCGACATTTTGGCCATATCCTTTCTGGTGGTAACACAAATGATTCGTGCACATTCAAGTCGAAAACCATACAACGGCCTAGAATGAACGAATTGAACTCGAAATTGAAATACAATAAAACATGAATGTGATTGTATTGTGTAGATCACATACCTCTGTACAAGATGCACTTCGCCGCACAGATGTCACGATGCCAAGTAACAGTAAAAGCGTTCTGATCATTCATTGGGCTTGAGTGCCAGTTTTTCTGGAAGAGTATTTTCTTTGACCCCAAATCCCCAATTCCTTTATCATTTGCATTGTAATGTATTCGCTGCCATAATTGTGGTTTGGCCTTACGATTTTTGACACGAATCTTGCAAATACTTGTGTCACCAATTTTATCAAAACCTGGCGAATCGGATTCCGCTTCCGGTTGTTTGGTTACTTTACGGCTGCGATGGCCTGCAACTCGACGTCGTTGACGTAGTTTACGCCGTCGTATGCGTCGATTGTACCGTCTCACTGCCTGTTCGGTATCCAATTGCTCTGGATTGTGGCTTTCACGCTCACTTCGACGCTTTTCCCGGTGCTTCTCAGCTCTTTCGGCTCTAGTTACATTTGCTGTTGGCTTTTGGCTGGCGTTTTGTTTTCGATCACGTTGCTTGCGCCGTCTGCTTCGATCAGTCACGATAACCGGTGGGAGTCTCACATCCTTGTGTGGGCGACAATCTTTGCATACTTTGAATCGGTCACTTTTTGTGCTTCTTGGAAATCGCCGCAAGCAATTGGCACAGGTTTGTGATGTATACGGCTCTGGTGTAAGCACAACATCCGTTTTGCCGTCCTTTTTTAGGCTAACTATGAACTTTCGCTGATCCGGTGTTCGTTTTGTTCTTTTCACACCGATTTTCGAATTTGATGGGAACGCCGCATCACCAAGGAACACAACTCCTGTCTCATTCTTTGTTATGTGTTTAGCCATCAAATCCATTTCGCGATTAGACTCGATGTACTTGTGAATGATTTCCATCGTGATCCTCGCGGCGATACGGATGTGATCGGATAGCTTTTCAAGTCGTGCTGTTCTTTGTGCACGTACTTTCTGGTCATTTTCGTGGCCTGTTTGACGCGCATTCCTTGTCGCGCACCCCAGTGATATTGAATACTCGATAATTTGATGTTGGTCTGTGAAATGAACAACAACAATGCAAATCTATGTTAGTTTTCATATGATATTTCAACTTACTTCAGTTCCAGTAGCGGAAGTCCGACGCACGCAGGCCATTTTTGTTTTCTGGCCGGGATCAATTCCTGATTCATACATGTAACCGCCTTTGCTGACTGGCTTTTCGTACTTTGCCTTGATTTGTTCCATAGTCACGCCGGCTCCTTTGCGTTTGGGTCTGCTAAACAACACCGACACGGCACTACTGTTGGTTTGAATTTTGTGGTAAAACTCCTTCGAACCGGTTCTGAGCTGTCTGATTTTGTCCATATCGAACACAATTCCCCATGCCTGTCTTTGTTCTCGCCTTGCTTGTAGTATGTACGATAATCAGCACGGATATCCCATCCCCGTTCATTTCTCAACTAGCCAATGATATCAATCAAATCATTATGGTCGAATGGTATGTGCTTCAGTTTTGTATCACTGAGTGGAATTGCGGCGAAATTCTTCACTTTTGGTATCTTCGGTACCGACGGCTCTCGATTGTTCACTGGATCACGATCGTATGCTTTCCACTGTTGACAAAGGTGAGCCGTATCGATCAAAAATTTCTCCATAGTGCGTTGAATGCCTATCCATATCCACAAAGACTCGAACCAGTCCTTTTGAATGTATTCGTACATTGTGAATTATTTTACGAATGATGGGCCACAAAGCTGAGACACTTCCTTAAACAGTATATCCATCTTTTACTTTCGACTTTCATCATCATCATATGTCCAATCTTCATTGTACATCAAATTTTTCATCGTATTTCGAATGTCAATGTCATCAAAAGGCAAGTATGATGCATTATAAATAACGTCAAGTGGGCTTCCTTTGTGATTGAATTCATGGCACTTTACACGTAGAAAGTGGGTCAATCTCACCCAGCAGTGCGTCTCCAAGTTTGTCTTCACATTGGCCACATACTGGTCCTTGAGAGCATAAACTTGGCGAGTCATTTGATGGCGGCGTGGCCATTCAAAGTTGGGGCTACCTTGGGTCACCATCGCGAGAAATGCGTCTGGCATTTGGGCTGTGAGTGGATCTTTGATGTTGTCCGATGTGACACAGTTGAAACAGTCTGTAATCAAATTTGCTCCATTTTGATTCACGAAGAAGTCCAAATTGTCATCATCAAATGCTTCGTTGATTCTGTAGAGCATTAACATCGATGCAAGATGCATGACTTTCGTAACATTCAAACATTTCTCGAAGAACTTATGGATCAGAAATCCTCTTTCTGTTTATGTTAAGTTCGTATTAATTATCGAATTAAATGGAGTGCTTTTTCATCTGCACTTTGTTCTCCCTTGGCCTACCAAACGTCTTATTGTGCCGCTTACGCCTCGCCATCGCGATGGAT